TCGTTTTCCCCATACACTGAACCAAATGCAACCAAAGCGTGTGGCGTGGGGGCATGAAAGCGGTGACAAGGGTAATACAAGCAGTAATGACCACATACGAAACTGTTTAATCCTTGATGCCATCTGGGCTGGGGAATGACGTTTTTATCTCGTACAAAACGTTGAGTACCGTATATTTCAGGAGGGCAACCATACGAGTCGAAAAACGAAACCTCTCCGGGGCGTTCACAGACAAACACCGTCCAGTGCCTTCCCGGTTTCCGATCATCGTCTGTATTGACGACGTAAGCTATTGGGTACTGGCGAGGTCGAACATTTTCCAGATGGTTACTCGCCAAGACTCCACCAAACACAGACAAGGGTAAATGCCGTTCGAGGAGTTCCTTCAATTATTGATTCGTGGCTCACTAATGCATGGTGACTTGGCGATTTTGGTCAATTTCCAAGACATTGTCGTATTCGGCAAACAGGAGCAGACTTAGATGATCGGTGGGGGCAGTGTTAAATTTAAGTTCCAGCGACAAATTACCAGTGGTATTGGGATGAAAGTACGTGCCGTCGGCTCCGTGATCGTTGGTCAAATCAAAACAATACAGCGTGTATCCCTTGATATAGTTGTTGAACGGCAAATCTAAATCTTCTTTGGTGTTAAGAATGCTGACGCGTTTCATCAAATCCAAATAAGGCGAAATAGCCTGCTTGTTGCCGAAGTCCATTTCATATTCATCGACTACATCTCCGTTTTTGACTAATTTGAGACCTTCCAAACCGTAGAGCCCAAATTTAACCGGGTTCCTAGTAGTGGTACCGCTATAGGCCTGATTGCCCACTAATCCCACGACGAGACGTTTGGGTTGAATTTCGTTGATAATCAAGTTATCCAAAACGTGAATTCTTCGGAGGTTCGGGATTACCACGTCTCTCACGACGACTCGATTCCAAGGGTATTTGACCGGAGACGATTGGAGTTGTTCGGCAAAACGCGTGTAGGTGCTGGGCGACAGGGTCACAAAGGAAACTTCCAAGTAAGCTTTGAAAAATTCTATTTTGTTATTGTCGTTATCGGACATGAGAAAAAACTCTGGATATTGCTTTTCCAAACTGATTCTCATATCAACACCGTCGATCAAATATCTATTTTGTAGACACATGTCGACGTGGAGGCGGGATTGCAATTCGAACACTTGACTCTGGGAAATGATGACGTGTCTCTGTTCCAAGCCTTGGTTCGCAGGGTGTACAACGTTGTTGGCTACTGTCTTATCCTTAGCTTGAGTGCTGTCGAACTGATCCGCTGTGTCTTTCTCCCACAAGACTTGTTTGGCCAAATGGTCCGTTTTAGCCCCTTTTCCAAAACTTCTCAACGTAGGCTCGGTATGGGTAATTAGGCAGTGAAGAGGTGACCAGGGTTTTAGCATCTCTTCCAAACCTCAGCTTCGTCAGGGCCGTTTGAGTATAGGGAACGCTAAACAATTGTTGAAGTTCATCTCGAGCACAGGGGCAGGAATCATGTCGCATGATTTGCGAAGCCATGATCAAAGACATCTGGACGACGTTTGGCAGGAGTCGAGGCGATAAACGATCCTTTTCGCTTCTTCTTCTTTGACGTCCTGTAGGACACTGATCCCATGGACGACGATATGGATCATTTTACACAACGTTGTTTAAGGCGTCGGAAAGGGTGTTTTTCATGGCTGGTTTGAAGGTATTCGAAGCCATTTCTTTCCAGTTTTATCGTCCCGAAATGACATTCATTAAAGCTACACCCACGCGAGGCAAGAGTTCCGCTGCATTCTATTTTAGGGCGTCTTTCCCCGCCGACAACAAGGTCTTTCCTAAAGACGCGACGTTGCATTTGACTGCTGAGAGCAATCCGGAAAGCGGCCCGGCTCCCCTCTGTCTCAAAACACCTCCTTTGTAAAACGTAATGGAGCGAATCATTGTAGACGTCGAAAATGAAGTTTGTCGACGACTTTGCCTTGTATGAATGGTATGGCTTCACCCATACCGTTCCTTATATAGATGCTGACAGCAGTCATTCGATCGTACTTGAGAGGAATGTAGTAAATCTTGGATGAACGATGATAACCATGGCCGCTTTGCAAAGCAAAGGGCAAGGGTACTGGTGATGGCGAAACCTTGGAATATTTAACTATTCAAAGACTCTCAGAACATTTTGAGGGTAAATGTCAAAAATATTCGTTGAATCTTCTCAGACTGACATGAACACAACAAATGAGCATAATAGGAATATGCCTTCTTGTAGTGGTTTTTCTACTAATAAACCTGTCGGCACAAATATTTTGTCAGTTACACCATCAGCATCTGTTGCACGACCTCAAGCTTTCCCTGCCTCCATTTCCCTTGCAAGCTTGCTGAATATTGGGAAATTAATACCCCCAGCACCTATAGAAAAGGAGAGTTTAATTCTCTCCTTAGAGGAATTTCTAATTGACGGGCAGCAATGGTCGGATGCCAAGACTGTAAAATTAAATTTTTGGAAAAAACCTTTTGCTGAAGGGGGGTTTCGACAAGCATTCAAAGCAGAATGCACTGAAGGTTTAGACACTCGCAGTATGTATGTAGTAAAGAAATACAAAAGTGATCAAGTAGACAGCATTGTCAACCTTTTTGGTTCAATCGAGGCCCATAATCGAAAATCTGTCCAAATGAACTGCTTGGCCCAACACTTGGCATCCTGTCTGGCATTTGACTTTCCTAAAGAATATGGGCCACACTTCATATATAATACTGCCTTTTTTGAATAATCAGGGGACACATGCTTTACAGTTGAAAGTTATATTTCTGGTACTTTCGTGAAATATATAAACAACACTGGATCTATTGTTGTGCAGGATCAAAGTGATCAAGCCTTGAAAGCTGAGTCATTGGCACATTATTCATATACTAAAACAAACAAACAATTAATTATTCTTGATATTCAAGGAGCTGGTTATCAACTCTATGATCCTGAAATTGCATCTACAAAGTTGTCTGATGATGACGGCATTTACTTTGTCTTGGAAATCTCTCAGAAACTGCCATCAACAATTTCTTTGAACGTCATATGTATAATGAGTATTGCAACATGATGAAAATATCAGAAGCTTCATGCACTCAATAGTTCTGAAATATATGAAATGAACTTCTGTTATTGGAAATTTACAGGTATAGTTTCTCAGTTACCTGTGTTCCAATTTTTAGCAGTTATGGCTTATATTTACTTCAAAGAGACCCATATATTCTAATCGTTTAATTTTTAATATATTATATTATACCAATATAACAGATATTGCATTCACACAGTATTATTAAATGGTTATTATTGTAGACTACCGTATATGGTTTAATACAACAGGTATTTCATTCATACATTGTAACTTTCAAATAGTTTCAATCCAACAGGTATTTCATTCACACAGTATTACTTTCAAATAGTCTCAATCCAAATAGGTATTTCATTCACACAGGTATTTCATTCAAATGGTAATTATTGGTGTAGTATTGAAAGAAAATTTATTATTAACGTTTAAATATACCATTACAAACTTGGTTTTTTACAAGTTGCCATAAGCATAAGTAATGTTTGGATATTATTATTTACGAAAACTAATTATAACTAATTAATTTCTTGTTTCATCAAAAAGTAATAAGGAACAGCTAACCTATTGCCGATAATTGTGTTTGTTGGTGTTTTTACTGTTAAATCGACTAGTGAAATTGAATGAAATGGACTCAGAAGAGTATAGTGGAATGGTTCATTTTTGCTTTAACAATCTACTGTGACAAGATATTATTTAGTTAGTCCGTCGGATTGTTGTTTTTAGTTAAATTAATCCTAAAGGTTCTAGGACTCATTAGCATGGTAGGATGTTGTTTTTTTTAACACGTATGTGAAATCTTTGGATGTTACTCATCTCTGTGGACAGATAGATCAAGTATTTCTACGAAAAAGAGATATGAAGAATTATGACTACTGGAGAGTAGAATTGGACTCACATTTACTGAATTATAAGTCTTGTATGCACAGATATATAGATATCAGTGAATAAAAAAGATACCTGTTGCCTGTGACAGGAAATTTTTTTTCTCAGAATTTTGACCTCTGTTCACACTATGTTGTATCATGGAACATGGTTTAGTTCCAGCAACAGATTCAAGAAGTCACAGATACAGACCAAGATGATCTTTTCATATTCTCAAAATTGATTCACATGAGGTTGTCAGGAAAATTTTCGTCAGTCTGTAAACACTTTCTTGTGAATGCATTAGAGCCTATATTTTTTATCCAATGAAATTAATCTTGACAAATGGATTAATTGGAAAGTCTCTTCTTGCAACACTATACGACAATTCTAAAGGTGACAAGTGAAAATTTGATCGTTAAAACCTATTGTAAATGCAACTTTGTGCGTATAACTCATGGCAACTGCTTGTTATGCCCTTACAATCTTGTCATTGATTCTTCATATAATATATGCAAAGTTTGTTTGTAAATAAGTAATACAAAAAAGTTTTTTTATTTCTTTACAACACGTTTATTTCATGTGGGCAATAAAAATTATGCCAGAAATTGTAGCATACATCAGGATCACAAGCACAAGCAATTGTGTGAACAGGCAGGGGACAGATAAGGACAACAGCAATTTATGACTTCATGTTCGAAACACAGTGATCGTATCAAAAAACATTTTTGTATACGATTCACAATTGTTATGCTATCACGAGCACTTAAGATTCACATTTGGAACAAAAAAAGGATGTTTAATGACAGTTTAGACTGGATATGACAATAGTTGAGTAAGCAGTCTCAATTATAGTGTCAAATTTCAAGCTTGTCACATTTTTAGATAGTGTCAAATTTTGATTTCAAATACAAGTAAGCTATATCTGCTTCATCTGGTTTAATATCCGCAATTCTGATGTAATTCTCACAATTCATATAAAATTATGTATCAATAAAATCATTCACTTCCATAACTCCTGATAAATCACAAACATCAGCCAACTGTTCTTCCACAGGGTTTGCCACCATACTTTTCCGGGAAGTGATATATGTGTTCAGGTACTCCTGCTGGAAGACATTTATCTTTTTGTATTCCTCCACGGTGGGTATTCCACACATTTTTTCTGAAGATATCCAATTCTTTTTGCATGATTGGTACATATACAAAAGCCAATATATTCCTGGAAAATAAAACATGGATAATGGGTAATTGTCTACTCAAATCCAGATGATTTGTTAAAATCATGAGTAGTAGGGCATTTCTAAAATCATATGTTGCAAGTCCAAAAACGTACCCAAGTTCAAAGGTAAGTATCTCAGATATACTTCATGGTGTCCTCTTCAAACCCTGAAAATATGAGCATCATCTAATAATTGTACAAGTACTGCACCGAACAAAATAGCATGTCAAAAAGTTCAATATCAGAGCAAGTTACCTATTTGAACCTGTGTTCCATGTGCTTTCACCACTTTGACCACCAATATCAAACATTTGTCCATCCTGAGATGCTTGCATCTCATCTAAAGGTACCATCTCCAAAGAAGCGACCATCTTGCCTTTCAGTTCCTGTTCAATCAGCGTGTCCCGGTAATGGACATCCATATGGACCCGAGTCATTAATTACGCAAGCTGGACAAACAGGCTGAACAAGAAGTGAATTGAAGTACCTTGGGAGATGGTACCTTTAGATCAGCATCATAGGAAGGAAAAATAGGATTTTCTCTGATACTGTTTTTCTTGACTTTTTATTTTGTTTGAGGCAATATTTGTACAATTTTTAATAGACGACCGGCATATTTCAGGGCATGGCAAGGACATCTTGAAGTATATCTGTGAGAATTTTTAAAGAATTTTTAAATTCTGCTGATAGCATTGAATATTTCAATCTAATTTTTGATTTTATATTAGTTTTTAATTTGTGCATCAAAGACAATTTTGCTAAATAGATTTGGTAGTTTTTGGCCAAGAAAAAATATACATGATATTTTAGTTTATCAAGCATGAATTTATGTAAATTCGAGTAAACAAGAGAAAACTGTTTAGATTCAGGATCAAGCTGCATAATATAGATGAATTTTTCAAGATATTAGTGTGGTTTTTCAGCTGATATATCTATTTTTGGTGAAAAATTGAACTTACTATGTTCACCCTCTTCTTTTTATGTAAGTAAAGTGGTTGTAAGTCTCTCCTTTTAAGAGATTTTGATCTCGAAAAACCTAGTAAGTTGATTTCTATGTTTTACCAGATTTATATACGATCTTTATGATTTTTATACTTACTATGTCTTTCGAGATCAAAACCTCTTAAAAGGGGAGACTTAAAACCACTTTACCTAAATAAATAGAAGTGGGTAAACAATTTTACCAAAAAGTTTTTCACCAAAAGTGGACTTACTAAATTTTTCCAGATTACAGGAAATATGCTAACATTGCAGCAATCATTCAATTTCAGAATTTCATTAAAATATATTCTCTTGCATGTTCACAAGCACAGCAGGCAGACAAAATATCAGATCTAACTAGAATTTCCAAAAAAGAACTGCATTTGCAATCAAATCGATGATGCTGGTTTAAAGTTCAAGAACAAAAAAGTATTTGAGTACCGTTCTATTTTATTTTCCGTTGAAGGTCCATATATAACACTGTCCACTGCTGCTCCCTCTTCATTAGACTTATTCTATCGAACAGTTTTGGGAATTCTTTGAAATTCTCAACAACCACCATCCTTCTATCAAACTAACCGCAAACGTGAGTGACAAAAGCATAGACTTTTTCGATACTACAGTCTTTAAGGGAGATTCTATAGCAGAAACAAATAAACTGGATATTAAAGTGTATTTCAAAGAAACTGATACTCATCAACTCTTGCACAAGAGCTCCTTTCACCCAAATCATACCTTTTCTGGTATAATTAAGACACAAGTTTTACGATTTCATCGAATTTGTACAAGATCTTCTGATTTCAACCAAGCCTGTACGATTGTTTTCTCAAAACTGAAAGAGCGTGGGTACTCTAAACGATTTTTACGAAACATAAAAAATTCCACATTAGCAGAGATAGCAGCTAAAAACAGACTTTATGCCGAAGTACCTCCAGGTTTAAGAAGTGCTCCATGTTTGTCCAGTGGATGCAAAACATGTCCCTTTATATCAGAAACTCATTATTTTGCAAGCAACTCTACGAATAAAAGGTACCCGATCCAGAAACATCTAACATGTGAACATTCGAATGTAATATATTTAATTTCATGCAAGAAATGCCCCAAACAATATGTAGGATAAACTAAGAATAATTTACGAACTCGCTTTAATGCTCATAGGTCAGACATCAAATTAAAGAAAGACAAGCCTGTTTCTAATCATTTCAACCTCGACGACCATTCAATAGACGATCTCACATTAATCCCAATTGAGCGTATAGAAATTGACTTGCCCGAAGATGAAACTACCAAATACCGTCAATCTAGGGAGGCCCATTGGATTTAGACATTGAATACAGCAAGACCTATAGGACTAAATATTCATCATAATGTAGGCATAGCACCCTTTGTTGTCCCGTTTAATACAACCAGCAATCGAGCAAGCAAGATAGTTCATGCCCACTATAAGAGCCTGCAAGAGAAATTCCCCCATGTCTATAAGCAGAAAATGATAGTTGCATATTCAAAAAATAAGAACTTAAATGATGATATTGTTCATAGTAAACTAAAAACAATCAGTACATAACAGATACTATACTTCTCGCCCATCCGCCGAGTTATTTTTTCTAATTTCCGATCAGAATAAGAACAGAAGAAAACCCAATATCAAGACCCTTGATCCTAATTTCTAAATAAAGTGTCTGATCCACCCTAGGCCTGTACATTTGGGAGAATCAAACCCTCCCTTCCCCGCAATCTGTAAGGTAATCCTAAAAATAAAATAAAATCAATATCTGATCAAAATTATTTCCAAATCAGATGAAAGCTGTAGTCTCTATCACGTTCACAAGCCAATTACAGACAGACAGACAGGGGTGGCGACAATATACGATCACATTTTAATGTGGGCGTATAAAAATTGTATAAAAATATGTCGTTAAACACCATTTCATTTCGATTACTAACCCACATCAGCTCACCAACCCTGCCCCCTTCTAATCACGGGCCCCAAGGCCAGAGCCCTGTCAGCTCTACCCTTGTGGGTGCCATGAGTACAGCAAACAAACACAGCTCATCGTTTCCTTACCGAGTTGGCAAGTTGCCAATGTACCAACATGGCTGCCATGCAAACACCCTATACAGTTTTTTTTTCTTCTCTTCATTTTACATTTTTTGTTGATTATCAAATACATATTATAAAATGTGGGTTTTCTTTCACCTTGTGTAAGTCTATAATATAATCATGTTAACTATAATTTTTTTCAAAAATTGGAAATCCAAGAAGCT